CCCGAGCGAAGACTGTCCCAGGCCGAAAGGCGCGAGAGGAAAGTGATGCCGTGATTGACCCTGACGAACTCGACCCGCAGCTGGATCGCGTTGGTCTCCAGGGTCGGCGAGATGTGAATGCCCGCCGCGGTGCAGGCGACTTCGATCAGGATGTGACTGCCGGTATGCTTCATCGGCAAGGCGATCGGATAGGCGGCACAATCGGCCAGCGAGACCCTAGGCCGGCCGGCGAGTGGATGATGCGCCGACATGACCGCTACCAGGGGCTCGCGCATCTTGAACGCGGTCTCCAGTTCGGCCTCGGCGGGCGGATAGAAGGCCAGACCGATGTCGGTGCGGCCTTCGCGGACGGCAGCCACCACCTGGTCGGAACCGTCGATCGTGATCTCGAACTGGATGCCCGGATATCGCTGGCTGAACCGGGTCATCGCACGCGGCAGCAGGTGCGGGACCAGCGATTCGATCGAGCGGATGTTGACGGTGCCCCGGCGCAAGCCTTTCAGCGCGTCGATTTCAGAGCGCACCCTCTCGATCTGGCGCAGGTTGGTCTGGGCATGACGCAGCAATATCTCGCCCGCCGAGGTGAGCTTCACGCCGCGCGCATGGCGCTCGAACAGCGGAACGCCCAGCTCCTCTTCGAGTTTCTGGATCTGTCGACTGAGCGCGGACTGGGCAATGTGCAATTCCTCCGCGGCCTCCCGTATCGATCCGAGCCGTGCAATCGCCGAAAAAGAACGCAGGGATTGATTGATCATTTCTTGGTCTCTCCTGCCTTCAGACTGATGCCGAACCGGCATCGCTTCAACGCTGAAATGGCGCTTGTTCGATCACCCACGGAACCGCCAATTCGGTCGGGCATATGGGCAACGAGGAGGCACCGCTATGCTCGACATGGTTGGGGAAGCCGTCGACCGGCTGATCACGATCGAAGCCAAAAATCACGGCATGCCGCACGGCATCCTGCTGCCGATGTACCTCGCGGCACGTAAGGTCGCCGGCGACAAGCCGGTTACGATGGCCGCCGCCAAGGGCCTGCAGCAGGTGCTCGGCAAGGGCGATGTCGTCTTCATCATGACCGGCGCGGGGTACGAGCCCACCATGCCAAAGGGCGAGAGCGACGGGCCGCCGGGTGCCGCCTCGCTCGCCCGCATTCTCTATCGTGGCCTCGGCGCCGTCCCGGTTTTCGTGAACGAGGCATGCCACGCCGATCCGATCGTCGCATCCAGCGAGGCCGCCGGCCTGATGGTGAAGCCGTTCGAGCAGGCGCGCGATCGTCATCTCGGTGCCGCCATCGAGAACGCGCCGGAAGAGCAATCCAAGATCGACGCGTGGATCGCCGAGATCTATGCGAAGTACCAGCCCAAGGCTGTCGTTGCCGCTGAGCGCCTCGGCGCCGGGGCCGACGGCAACGTGCATACCGCGACCGGCCTGCCGCTCACCGGCCCGGCGTCCAGGTTCCAGGGCTGCATCGACATCGGTGGCGTCGTCACCGAAGCCAACAAGCGCAAGATCTTCTCGGTTGGCATCGGCGATCACGGCAACGAACTGGGTTTCGGCACGATCTACGACACGGTCGTGGCGACCATGCCCAACGGCAAGGCGCTCGCCACGGTCGTGAAGACCGACGTCGTGATCCCGGCGATGATGTCGAACTGGGGCTGCTACGGCGTCGAGGCTTGCCTCGCCTATCTTCTGAAGAAGCCGCAGCTCATTCATTCGCCGGACATGGAGAAGCGGATCGTGCAGGCCTGCCTCGACGCCGGCGGCCTCGAGGCGATGTACTGCACGACCGAGTTCCTGGTCGATGGGCTCGACGGCGAGACGTCGATGGCCTGCATGCAGTTCCTGTCCAACATCGTGCGCAAGAACCTCGAGCCGCCCGACGCCGGCCTCACGCACTAGGCGCCGGGCTTTCAAACGCATTCATCAGGGGGAAGACATGGCTATTGACGAGATCGTCGGCGATTCGA